AAAAGAGAAAGAGACAAAGATCTTTTTTCCATTGGTTCACTCCCCAAATGGCCGCCATAGCCGGCACTGCACCGATTCAAAGCCAGGAGCCAGGTGCTTCTTCCTGGTCTCCCATGCGGGTGCAGGGCCCAAGCACTTGGGTCATCCTCCACTGCCTTCCAGGGCCACAGCAGAGAGCTGGACTGGAAGAGGAGCAACTGGGACTAGAACCTGGTGCCCATATGGGATTCCGGTGCCGCAGGCCGAAGATTAACCAAGTGAGCCATGGTGCCAGCCCCTCCAGCTTCCTATTAATCCTGACCCTGGAAAGCAGTGGCTCAAGTGGTTGATTGGGTTCATGAAACCCACATGGAAAACCTTGTCTCAGTTCTCAACAACCAGCCTTTGTTATGGCTCTTCCCATGGCATTTGTGGGCATTTGGGTGGTAAATTAGTGGACAGGAGTCCTTTGTCTCTAAGCATCTTAAAAAATTAAACAAGAAAGGAATTTCTCAAAGAAAAAGAGATACAGATTTAGATGTCATGTCAAAAAAAGTTTTTTGATAAGAGTTAAAGGAAAGTACAATTAAATATTTATTTTCTCCTGATCTAATGGATGTTTATTCAGAATGATAATACTAAAAATGAACTGGATAGTTGCAATTTCTGATACCTAAAATAAATTATAGAAGGGTCAGATCATGGTACAGTGGGAAAAGCCGCCTTAACTGATGGTAGTAACCCACAGAGATGCTGATTTGTGCCCCAGCTGCTCTACTTTTAATCCAGCTGATAATGACCTTAGAAAAGCAGCAAAGGGGTGGCCCTGTGGCATAGCAGGTTGAGCCACCACTGCAGTGCCAGCATCACATATGGGTGCAGGTTCAAGTCCTGGATGTTCCACTTTCAATCCAGCTCTCTGCTATGGCTTGGGAAAGCAGTAGAAGATGGCCCAAGTCCATGAGCCACTGCATGCGTATGGGAGACCTGGAAAAAGCTCCTAGCTCCTGTTTCGGATAGGTCTAGCTCTGGCTGTTGTAGCCATTCAGGGAGTGAACCAGCAGATGGAAGACCTCCCCCTCTTTCTCTCCTTCTCTCTCTCTCTCTCTTTCTCTCAGCCTCCACCTCCTGTAACTCTGCTTTTCAAATAAATAAAAATCTTAAAAAAAAAAAAAAAGCAGCAAAGATGGCCCAATTTTTTGGGCCCCTGCCATCCCAATTTGAGACCCAGATGAAGCTCCTGACTGCTACCTTCAATCTATCCAGTCCCAACTGTAGTAGTCATCTTGAAAGTAAACCAGTAGTTAGAAGATCTCTCTCTCACTTGCTTTCTTGCTCTCTCACTCTTTACCTGTCTGTAACTCTTTCAAATATAAAATAAGTAAATATTTTAAAAGGTAATTATAAAAATATAATAATTTTAGTGCTCAATAGTGTACTGCTAGTAGAAAGTGTGTTTAAATCAGTTGTAAATGTTGACATAAGTTTTAGGAAAATTAACAAAAAAAAAATTTAGGAAATACTTATGCTTGATATCTTGCTAGAGTAAACAAAATGAAATCCTAATGAAATAAGGAGATACAGATATTTGGAATAGTGTGTTACAGGTTACCTATTCATAATGTGTAGGAGTGCCTGTGTTTGAATCCAGAGGAAATAGACAATGGCAGTAAAATATCCCAGAAGCCAAAGGAGGGGGAAATTCCAAGAATGAAGTAGTTTATTGTACCCTACACTACCAAGGGTCCCCCTTATCAGACTGGGTGCCAGTGCCAAGTGCTAACAGCATCAAGAGGTACCCCCCACTACATAGAAAGGTAATATCAAGGTGTCTACTATTGGTGAGAATATAAATTGATCCAAAGGGGCAATTTCTTACATTTAGTGTTAACCAAGTGTGAAAGTCAGAGGCAGGGGGGAGAGGAGCACATATCATAAGAGTCAATGGCATGTCTCTTCCTCAACCCTAATCCTATAAGGAACTCATCCAATGTCAATTGGCCCTGATATTGCATGAGGAGCAAGGTGATCTAATTTGGAAGATGGCTAGGAATGGAGTCTCCTGGTCTGCCTCCTATGGTGCCACCTTGAAAGAAAAAGATTTCATAGAAATGACCACTCAAGGAGCTGGTTAAATGGAATTACACTGGCCACTCACATCTGCTCTCTGACCATTCCGTTTTGCTCACATAAAGAAAACAGCAAGGCCGGCGCCGTGGCTCACTAGGCTAATCCTCCACCGTGGCTCACTAGGCTAATCCTCCACCTTGCGGCGCCGGCACACGGGGTTCTAGTCCTGGTCAGGGCGCCGGATTCTGTCCCGGTTGCTCCTCTTCCAGGCCAGCTCTCTGCTGTGGCCAGGGAGTGCAGTGGAGGATGGCCCAAGTCCTTGGGCCCTGCACCCCATGGGAGACCAGGAGAAGCACCTGGCTCCTGCCTTCGGATCAGTGCGGTGCTCCGGCTGCAGCGTGCTGGCCGCGGCGGCCATTGGAGGATGAACCAACGGCAAAGGAAGACCTTTCTCTCAGTCTCTCTCTCTCTCACTGTCCACGCTGCCTGTCAAAAAAAAAAAAAAACAGCAAGCATTTGACCACTTTCATGTCTCCTGATTTTAAAAACTAAATGATTTATTCATTCATTCATTCGTCTATTAGAAAGAATGAAAAAAGGGACAAAAAGGCAGAGAAGATAGATAAACCTTCCACCTGCTGGTTCTCTTCCCAATTGGAACCAGGCTGTGAAGAAACCAGGAGCCAGGTTCTCTCATGTAGGGGGAAAGAATCCAAGTAGGTGGACCATCATATGTTGCTTCTCATCCACGTGCATTAGCTGGAAGCTGGATTGGAGCAGTGACAGGTTAGATCCCATATACTCCATCATGTAATGAGGACACCCCAAGTGACAGCTTAACCCACTGCAATAACACCCACCCCAAGGCTTTCATTTTTAAACTTTCTTCACTATGTAGTGCCCACTAAGTCTGTGATTTCTGGATGGTGAAATTTAAATATCCATTGCTTAACCTTTATAAAAACTTTTTCAGAAAACTAATTTTGCAAACAAAATCAAGCATTTTTCCAGGAACTATGACTATACTCTCATCCATTTCACTATTCAGAGGAAGCACGACAATTAATAATTGCTTCTAGTCCAGAGGAATCATTTTTCTGCATTAATTTTTTGCTTCAATTTTCAACTTTTAAATGCTAAGTTGTGGCCCTTTCCCATAATATAAACTAACCAGTTATCTTTTTAAAATAAATGCTACTTAAGAATATTTTTTCAGATTTACAGAAAGAAAATTACACAAATACAAGAGTTTACAGATTCCCCACACCGATCTTCAACTATCAACAACATCTCATATTAACATGGTACACTTATCACAACGAATGTGGCACTATAAATGTTTTCTTTTTTAAAGATTTATTTAATTTGAAAGGGAGCTTTACAGAGAGGGAGAGGTTTTCCATCTACTGGTTCACCCCCAAATGGCTGCAATGACTGGGGCTGGGACAAGCCAAAGCCAAGAGCCCAGAACTCCATCTGGGTTCTTCCATGGGTGCCATGGACCCAAACACTTAGGCCATATCCTGCTACTTCCCCAGTTCCATTAGCAGAGATCTGGGTTGGAAGCAGAGCAGCTGGGACTCCAACCAACACTCTGGTATGACTGCTGACATTGCAGTTGGTGGCTTAACACACTGTGCCACAACACTGGCCCTGATATTGACATATTATTAACTTCAGTCTGTATTTTATTTGTATTTCCTTAGTTATTACAAAATATCCTTTTTCTGTTCCAATAACTCTAAATTATCATTTTAAAATCAAAATCTAGATCTTGTAATTACAAAAATACTACTCAGGAGCAGCATTGTGGTTCTGCAGGTTAATCTGTTGCGTGCTAGGCCAGTATCCCATATCAGGAAGCCAACTTCTTTAATTCTTAAAGACAGAAAAGAAGAAGGAGGGTGAGATAGGTAGGGAAGTAAGGTTATTTTCTTAGAATTTTAATTACAAAATACATGGAATCTGTTCTCTTTATATTAATAAAATAAAAAGGTTTAAAATTAAAAGTTTGTTAGAGATGGAGAGAGATTTCATCCTTGCTGGTACATCCCCAAATGCCCACAGGACTTGGGAATGTGCCAGCTTGATGCCAGGATCCTGGAACTTCATCCAGGCCTGGGTGTGTTCAGCTGATCCTGCAGACACAGAGCCCTCAGTGATACCTGCCTTTATACAGACACATCTTGGTACAAAATAACACTCCCTACTCAGGGCATTTGAGAACTAAGAGAAAACTTTCAAATACAGCCCAGATGAGAGTAAAAGGGAAATCCAGATGTTGCTGTAAGCCAACAGGTTTCCGGCCTACATAAGAATCAGCCTGGTCACCAGGGAGACCAAGGAAAGAGGGCCAAGTCAAGCCACTCAGACCTGTCTCCAGTAGCCATCTCTGGAGTGAGCATGAAGGCAGAGAAAGTCAGCAGCAGCTCTGGGTTCCCTTGACCCTTGAGTGGTTATACAAACCAGCCAACTCCAATTTAGGCTGAGTGATCAGACTGACAGTGTGGTCAAAAACTGTGTCACCCATTCAGTACTCTGGACACAGGAGCGGCCTAAAAAGAACCATCAAAAGATGTAAACAACAGGAGCCAGAGTGCTAAGGGGGTAAGAAATGCAGTTTGTAGCCCAAGGCAGTAGGCCTTGCGAACCTTCTCTTTTGTTGTGAGGTTTCCTTACTATATTTGAAAGGTCATGGGACAAACATCTGTAGACATATGTAAGACACACATGGATTATTCATAATTGGTCTATAATTATTAGCATCCTATCCCAAGCAATGAGCCTCAGGGACTAGTACAGGGAGAGACAATTAAAGGGAATCACTTTAGTCTCCCTCCTAGGAAAGTATACATCTTCCATGAACTGCTTCTCACAAAGTGATTCTCCCATTTTCCAGGAGAAATATACCAACCCTGAAGAGGCCACTTTTTTTTTTCCCATAGAGCCCAACACGTGCCTCGGGAATCACTTGTGATGCCAGGTAGATGCGTAAGAAAGGCAACTGGAGTCATCTACTAGGCGACAAGATACTTTATCCCAATCACTGTATTTCCCTCTACAGAAAAATGCAAACTGAATCACAAGAAACTCTAGTCCATCAAGCCCATGTTAAGCAAAGGGCATATCTGCATTACTCCAGACCTGTAGGCCTCTCTGCTTGCTTGCATGTAGACTATCTGCATAGGGATGCAGAGTGTGAGGGAGAGGTGACAGTAGGAAAAAAATGAGCAATGTTTCAAATATAACACTGATTTTTAATAACCTCAAATTTGGTCATAAAAATTTTGTTCTAAGCAAGACACACATAAAGCCATGCTCATTCCTCTCCCAACAAAACTCTAATGTTAACAGCATATTTAGAAGTGTACTACTCCATTTAATTACAACACTTCTCTATATCTTATAAAGATATCTTATCTGGATGAAGAAACACGGCAATTGACTCAAGTATGTCATAACCTGTATTAGAAATTATCTCTAGGGGTCAGTGCCGTGGCTCACTTGATTAACCCTCCACCTGCAGCACCAGCATCCCACATGGGTGCCGGTTCTAGTCCCGGTTGCCGCTCTTCCAGTCCAGCTCTCTGCTGTGGCCCGGGAAAGCAGTGGAGGATGGCCCAAGTGCTTGGGCACCTGCACCCGCGTGGGAGACCAGGAGGCACCTGGCTCCTGGCTTCGGATCAGTATAGCTCCAACCGTGGCAGCTATTTGAGGGGTGAACCAACGGAAGGAAGACCTTTCTCTCTGTCTCTCTCTCTCTCACTGTCTAACTCTGCCTGTCAAAAAAAAAAAAAAAAAAGAAAGAAAGAAATTATCTCTAAATTAAAAAAAAATAAAACCCTAAAATTCAAATGGTTTATTTTGGCAATCTGCACAGATGACCTGTGTCCTATTACTGTGTGCTTTTGAACTTTCCAAGATTTCTTCTGTCCTCTCTTCCTCCCTTGCCCTTTACACCCTTTCTGTATCACTGCCCGCTCTGTTGCAGCAGCACTCTCCCTTTGGAAGCAGTCTTCTAGACTGTCCCTCAATCATTATTTCAAAATGGTTCTGTAGGGAGGGCCTGCATGACCTCCTAGTATCCCTTAAACTATATTTCCATAAAACAGACAATAGGATACAGTAGAAAAGTCATTGTTGTGATACAGGCATCCCATTGTCCATGAGTTTGTGTCCCAACTACTCCACTTGTGATCCAGCTCCCTAATGTGCCTGGGAAAGCAGCAGAGGATGACATAAGTGCTTGGGCCCCTGCTCCCACACGAGAAATTTGGAAGAAGATCCTGGTTCCTGATTTGACCCAGTCCAGCCCCAGCTGTTGTAGCCACTGGGGCATGAACCAGTGGATAGATGATTTCTGTCTCCCTCTCTCCCTAACTCTGCCTTTCAATTAAATAAATATTTTTAATTTTTTTTTTAAAAATTGAGAAATAACCATACCTATTCTTACTCATCTTGACTGCAAGAAAACTGCTGCTGACTTTGTGTAGTGTCTCCTCAATACTTTCCTACAGGGAAAAAACAACAACAACAACAACAACAACAACAACTAATTTTCTTGCTTTCCAACCACTCCAATACAAAAGAACCACTTGTATCCAGTACAGCTCTGTTTAAGCCTGCTCCAGCACTGAAGGAAAGAAGAAAGAGCAAGGGACCCAAACCTTGAGTGGCTACAGGGTGACGATCCCCTCCTCACTCTGCACCTGAGCTTCTGGTTAGAAATGGTGACAAAGGCAACTCCAGATACTGTAGTGGTGCACAAAGAGACTCAATCAGAAACAGCCTCTCTGTGTGTCACAGAAGAACACAGGGCATTCCACAAGGGAGGGAATACACGGGACAAAAAGGAAAGGATGCTAATGCACATAGCTAAGAATTTCCCCACCCTGCTATTCACAATCTCAAGAATGTCCAGGCCACAATTTTACTTTGGAAAACAGATTCAATGAATTTTTCTCCACCTAGGTGTATTCTTTTTTTTTTTTTTTTTTTAATTAAGTGGTTATCTTTCTGTGTTAAAACAGATCTTTATAATAAATTTTTTAAAAGATTTATTTATTTATTTGAACATCAGAGTTACACACAGAGAAAAGGAGAGACAGAGAGAGAGAGAGAGCTCTTCTATCTGTTGGTTCACTCCCCAATTGGCCACAATGGCCGGAGCTGGGCCAATCCAAAACCAGGAGTCAGGGGCTTCTTCTGGGTCTCCCACGCAAGTGCAGAGGTCCAGAGCCTTGGGCCATCTTGTATTGCTTTCCCAGCCCATAGCAGAGAGCTGGATTGGAAGTGGAGCAGCCAGGTCTCGAACCGGCGCCCATATGGGATGCCAGCACTTCAGCCAGGGCGTTAACCCACTGCGGCACAGCACAGGTCCAGGTGTATTTTTAAGTAAGGGATCCATCTCCCTAGGAGAGATGGTGCCACCACAAATTGCAAACCAAGTAAAAAGCAGAGCTGTGGTTTTGATGCTCAGAGGTGAA